CCCCAGAGTGCTGACTTTTATCCTACCTGACTTTAGTCCATCCACGTGTATTAAAAAGAATGCCATCCTCCTATCGTCAGACTGCTGTGCATGCGTGTAACAGGGCTTCCAAAACCAGGGTCTGTGATGTTCCTGTGTTTCAGTCATTTTGCATCATAAATAAAAGGGCTGAGGAATCCTTAGATTTCCTGCAGGAAGGCTTTCCTTTGTACTATGGCTAACACTGCTGAGCTGAGATTTTTCTGTATAGCTGCTGAAGGTGGAGGCTGAAGGTAATGAGAGGAATTTCACATGAATTTACCCCTCAGTTTCAATGAGGAAGGGTTATCCCTGCTGTGCCCCTTTGCAACAACTTCTCTCTTACTGTATTTTCTTTTTCTCTGCAAGTTAACAGATATTCCCAAGACTCTACCCTGATGCACCTGAACAGTTTACCTGTGAAGAAGACATTCAACCACCTGCTAGAAGCATTTTGATATAGCACCTTGCTTAAACCAAAAATGGTAGCTGAGGTTCTCATACATGACCAAAGGGAAAGGGCACATGGGTGTATCGATGCCTCAGAGCCGTTCTGACACTGTGCAGGAAGCCAATGGACAAACCAGAAACTCACTGGTCTATCCTTTATAGGCTTCTTTTTTATCTTCTCTGTACCTATCCTGCCTCTTTCCATGCATCTCACCACTGGCACTTCATCCGGGCTTCCATTGTTTTCTCTTCTGTCTCTTTCCTCACCCCCATCTACTGACTCTCCTCTTCCAGCTTGATTCACTCATCTTAAGTTTGGGTTTATTTTTCCTTTCCAAACGATATTCAGGACTAGCAACATTACCGTTAATGACATATTTTATCATTTTATTAACAATCTTTATTACACACCTGCTGTACTGCTGAAGGCAATTAGGAAACCAATCCCCTTCTGTGCCTGAGCAGCAAATTGGCTCAACTCCAGAAAAAGGTGGTCCCCAGGAAGGCTCCCATTAAAAGGCAGCTTGTGACATGCAGTAGCCTGAGCGCTACTGACCGTATGTACTGAGTCCTACCTAGTCATGGTGTTTATTTCCCATAGCAAATTCATCAGTGATAAATCAAAGGATTTAGAAGCTCCTGTCAAAAGTTCTGTGCTTGCTTACTGGAAGGAAGCCTACATCATCTGCTGTCCACAAACTCCCCTCAAGGGTCATCATTAGCTAAGAAAGAGCCTGTCATTTCTTACATGCTATACTCTAGCCACACACAGAGCAACTGCTTGGAACTGGATGATCTTAAAGTTCTTTCCAACTCAAACCATTCTCTGATTCTGTGAAGTCCTTCCAGGTCCTTGGAGGCAGTCCACAGTAACAGCCAGGCCCTGAAGGGACAACCAGCCCTGACTGCCTCAGCCTGGCGCTCTCCTCACCCTGCTCTTTCCCCAGCACCGTCAGACCCTGCCCCAGCAACAATGCAGCAGGGCCAGTCTCCAGCATCCCACAGTTCTGCCTGGCCATGGGCCCCACTGATCTGGGCCCACATCCCATCCCATCAAGCACCAGGGAACTGCCTGATGCCCGGGGCTGGGGCTGCCTTCACTCCTCACTGAGACAGTGAGATGGGCCCTGGCTTGTGAGGTTCTGCTCTGCTGCCCTCGGAAGTTCCCTTGGCTCCTTGTCCCTTAGGGAGTAGATGGCCCTTGCAGCACCCTGACAGGAATCACCATAAAATCTGTAAATGCCAGACCCACTGGAAGAGTTGGTGACACTGATACTGATGGCTAAACAAAAAAAATCCCATTCCTGACTGTAGAGGACGAGAGATTCTCCTCTCAGACTGAAGTATAAAGGAAGTTATTTGTCCCAGCTACAGACAGAAACAAATACAGATCATCAGGAAGAAATAAAAGGGATCAGTTGAATGGGATAAAAGCAGCATGAAGGTATTGCAGCTGTCATCTCTTCTCCTGCTCCCATTTGGTCCAGTCTTTATTCTTGACTGCATCCAGGGGGCCTCCCTCCCAGCTCTGTGACGTCCACCCTTCCTAGCTGCAAAGGCAACAGGATCTGCCACACAGAGGTCTCTGTAAAAGCCCTGTCAAGATGCACAGGATCAGGTGAGCCACAGTTCAGTGTCTGTACAACTGCAACTGTTCTGAAGCTACATCTGTCCTACATACAGCCTGAGCACTGGATGTCTTGATTCATCCAGGGATTTGCCCATCAGCTGGAACATGCTCTTCATCCTTAAGAGAGGAAGAACACATCCACCACACCAACCACCTCTCTGATATAGTCCCCTTCTTGGCCAACCCATCTCCAAACCTGGTGCCAAGGACCCTAAGGACTCTGGAGTTGGGCCAGCAACCAATGGGGGCCTACAAGGATGCTGGAGAGGGACTATGTGGGTTTGGATTGGAAAGGACCTTAAGATCATCCAGCTCCAAATTCCTGCCATGGGCAAGGATACCTCACACTAGACCAGGTTGCCCAAGGCTCTGTCCAACCTGACCTTGAACACTGCCAGGGATGGGGCAGCCACAGCTTCTCTGGGCACCCTGTGCCAGCGCCTCAGCACCCTCACAGGGAAGAACTTCTGCCTTAGATCTAACCTGAACTTCCCCTGTTTCAGTTTGAACCCATCACCCCTTGTCCTATCGCTACAGCCCCCGATGAAGAGTCCCTCTCCGACATCCAGAAACCCACAACTGAGTATAAAGAATAAAGCCAAAACTCTGTAGCAGTCAAAATGGAGAGGTGGCTACCACTCCATCATACAGCTTAAGCATGCACTTTGCAGATGGGGGCTGAAATACAGATCCCTAGCCTCAGTGACTCTGAAATATCCTTACTTTTATATTTCTATCTGACCACTAACCAAAGGTATTTATCTATTCATAAAACACAGACCTGAATGTGGAAAACACTTCCCACTCTCAGTGCTACAGAAATTAAACAGGAAAACCCTCATGACTTCATTTTAACCCTAAAGATGCTGTAAAAGGACTCAGTGTATAGCTCACAGACAAATTTCTGGGGAAGAAGATAACCAGTCTCCTATCTGCTCACATGACCCACTAGTTCTTCCTGGCTGACCTTACACACTGATAGTGTTGTCCCCATAGATCTGCCCAGATTAAAATGGATTGCATGTTATTGCACGTTATGACTCCACCAGGGCACACCTACCTGGTGAAACTGAGGGGCAGAGGGATGCCTACTTCAGGATAATTATCTCTGAGTACAGTACACTGCATTTTCCAAACCATTATGTCTCTCTTTCTAAAGGGAGAGAGGCATTCTGCAGTACCCTAACTTCCATTCTGCAGCAGAGAGCTCTCAGAGAGAAATATTCCAGCCCTTCTATAAAGGAATAAGTTATGCCAGTTCCACTGGGTAAATCTTAAGCCTCCTGTAAATACATCACACGGTTCTGAGAACAGAAAGTGAGCTTAGGATACGATCAGTGAGTGGAACACATTTCACATCACCTCTTTGGCACAACAGCAGCACTTTTTGAGGCTGTCCCAAGAATACATCAAGAGACATGAAGCAGAGCATGACCAGGTTATGCTGGTTTGCAGTTTGCTATTAAACCTTTATGTGCAGACAGTAAAACTTCCCTGCATGCTCTCTGAATAATAGCAGGAAGCAAGAGCAGATACAGGGGCTCCCAGGGAAAGGTTCTCTTTTGAGACAGAGAGGGAGGCAAAGAAGAACAGAGAAAATGTTTTCTCTCAAACTAAGAGAAAACTACATTAAAGCTGCAACAATGCAAAGTTTCAGGTACTCTAGAACTTCAGGGGCTTTTTAAAGTGAGTTTCTTAGTCATTCTCTAAGAAAAATGGATCACTTGATCCATTAGCAAAGCAGATCAACCAGGTTTAGTCAAGCACATTGTTTTTCATTCATCTAACACCAGCCACTGACAATAATCACTGGCATGCCAACAACACAGGTACATGCTGTGTGCTTGTTACCGCTGGGTAACTCATATGGCTTCCCTATGCTCTGTAATGTATAGAGAGTAAAGTCTATGTATTTCAGTTCTATGGATTTAGCAATTCCAAAAGTGAGAAAAAACAAGTGACAACCTCTTGCAACCTTCTGCAACCGCAAGGCTGTTGTAGACACAGATTTGCTTATTTATTTTTCCTTTAAGGGACAATCTGTGGTCCAAATGTTTAAGAGGCACACGGAGAAGTGGCTGGGGAGGTAAACTGAGGCAAAGATCTCACAGCAAGTCAAAAGCATTGCTGATAATAGAAGACTTTCCTAATTCACAACCCAGGCCCTACTTTTGGTGACTACAGTGTCTACAAAGGAGAGATTTATTTTTATGGGCCCTGAAAAACCCCTACCATTCCATACCATGCAATTCTAAGAAGATCGGAGATCACTCCACATATGTTATCTGTCTCCTTGTTAACATGGTGTCGGCAAGAGATATTTCTTAACAGAATAAAACCTTGGGAATATCCAGAAAAACTGCTAATCTCAAATCAAGTATTATTTTAGGATGGTGTTGAGGGAGATTAAGAGTTCAAAAGAATGAAAGCTCTGGATTTCTTACTCCATGACACATCCTAATAACGTGCTTCAGCCTTCTGAGCAATAAAGATCAGATGGACACCCTCAGAAGACCCCTGATATCAGATCCTTGCTGAGGGATATTATAAGCACCTTGAACCTGACAGTCGAGCTGCATTCAGAGCCCACAGGGATGTGCTGCTGCCCTGTAAGTTATACTGGACTGCAGGTAACTTGTTGTTGCCAACCTCTCAGAGCAAAAATTACGGTGACCACTTGCAAAGTAGGGAGGTGCAGAAAATCAATGCAATAAATTTAAGAGGAAGGGTTTTCGAAAGGAAGCATTCTGACTTGCTCTAAAGTGATTAAATTGATCCCACTCAAAAGCTAAAGTGCCCTTTGTTGAGCAAAAGACAGTAATCGAGGTGTTACCCCCAATAAGAGTACAGCGAACTGCAGATGTTCCTGTACTGTCAGGTAATAGCTGAGATGGAAAGGATACCAGTGTGGTCAATGGAAAGGTGCAGCACATTTTCATACCCCACAGCTTGGTCAGGTACCCTGTAAGAGTAAATAGAGTAAGCAACAGCAACACTCAGGTCCCTAACCCCATCCTGCCAGCTGGAATGTCTATGGAGACTGCGCTTCCTACCAGCTTCAAAATCCAGGCAAGTTTGAAGAGAGCAAAATCTACCCTCAAGAGCTGCTGTTCTTCTCACCATGTATTTCAGAATAAATGCTAAATAACTCCCCTGGAGTAGAGAGCCCCTCAGGATGACTGTACCCCATGATGTGTATGGTTTTCCTTCACCTTCACTACTGATTTTTGCTCAGTGTTATGGTCTGATCTTGGGTCATTTACGGTTGTTTTGAGCTCATATAATAACTGGCCTATGTTCTCTAGGGGATGGAGTAAGTACCTAGAGTATCAATTCACTTAATTTCTCTGTGAACAATTCCCAAATCTGTATCCTTAGAGGATCTAAGCAGTCTAAGGTAGCTCTCTATTCTGTTGTTCAAAATGGCTAAAAAATGCTTTGCAACTTCATTATAAGTTTCTGGTAATAAGGAGCAGTTTCCCTTATGTAAGATGTTAATGTGTCAATACTTTATACCAGAGATGTGCTGGGGAGGTTTTCTTCCTTTAGCCAGCTATTTAAAATAGCAAGCGATGTGTGATGTGTATTTTTAGAGGCTGTCAGGCGATGCTGTTTTTCATGATACAATATGTCTGTTTTCCCTTAGTGCACAGGAAGAGAAGTGATGCTGGACTGAACACGTTTCCCCCTAAATGGGCTATCTTTGGGAAAACATCAAGAGAAGTGACAATACATACACAAGGAAATAGCGTAATTTAACAGTCCCTGTAAAGGAAAGAAGGGAGGAAGGAAGGGATGAAGGGAAGGAGGAAAGGAAAGAAAGGAAAAAAAGAAAGAAAAAAGGAAAAAAAGAAAAAAGGAAAAAAAGGAAAAAAGGAAAAGGAAGATATCTCATGGTTGATTTTATCAAGGAAATTATTCTCTTATCAACCTTAAACCTACTGCTCTTCCTGAAATCAGGAGCAGATTTGACAGCTTTCAATCAGCCCTCAGGCAGTTCACTTATTAGTGTTGTTGCTGTTACTGGATTAAAGACAACTGCCTGCTAATAAGTTAGCATTCTAACACCAGTACCAGTGCCACAGAGTAGCAGAGAGAAAGCCATGATTTGTGAGCTGGTTTATCATGAGATAGCTGTAGGTGTATGCAGTAGGAGTATAATACAGGCACCAGGCCTGTGTTGTGATTCATTCTTTAGATCTTAATATAAACGAAGAAGGAAAACACATTTATTAAGATGTAGAGTGTGCCCATCCCTTGCAGGGACGCACACAAGCAGAAGTGTACTCTTTCTACCCAGTGGTCCTGGTATCAGCAGCTAATGTGAATGTGTTCACTGCTGTCCTGCCATTGCTGTTTAAGATCAGATGCAGCAGACAGCTAAGCTCAACTTTGTCCTTTGCACTCACAAACTTCACTGTTCTGCAGGTAAAAGCCCCATACAATTGGAAAGACTTGTAGAAAAATGAAACAAAATCCCAGAAGGACATCACTACAGGATGGATGCTAATGTCTGTGGGAGCAATAGCTGGCACAGGCCAAAGACATCTCAGTTCCTTCAGTAAAAGGAAAGAGCAGAGTCCAGCCATGATATAAAAGCCCTTCAGAGCAATAGCGCTGGTTCAAATAAAGCGTTAACTGTGATAATGACAAGGTATGTGATTGCCTATAGAAAGCAAGTAGGTGCTTGTGACCTGATCAGCTCCTGCAGGACACAGCATTTGCACCACAAACCAGTCTGCTTCCTTCCAATCCCATCCTTAAGGATCAGACAAAAACTGGCTAAAAGACTGTTCTGGCAGGTACAGAATGAGCCCCAGGAGTAACACAACCTATAGCTAAGTACTCTGCTTCTGACTCCTGAAGTTTAAACACTGCTCCTAATTAGTCCCAAGTGAACCTCCACTGGCTAACCTGGAGCTAGAGTACAAATGAGTTTATCCCATTGTATCTAAAAACAACAGCAGAACCAGAAACTAGATGAGGAATCACTCCACATAACAGATCAGGCCTCAGAAGAGCCTCCAATAAAAAGCATCTATGAGTACGTACCGCCTGAAACATGAACACTGCTGTTGCCTGGCATAGTGATCTCCTTCTGAACAGTGGCTTTTCAGGCAATGAATGGCAAAGTCCTCAGGATATTCAAGAACCTGAACAGGTATAATATCAGGAATTAAAACATAAACTTATTACTGATCCACTGTAGCTATGAAATTGTAAGATAGTGGAGTCTAACTGACTCATCACAGAGAATATTGTCATGCTAAACTGTACCTCATCTGATGCCATTTTGGATAAGAGTATGTCCTATGGATGGCCAGGCTCCTATGGATGGACAGGCAACAAAGCATGGCCAAGAGTCACAAGGGACTCCTCTTTTACCTCTCAGTTTCTTGGTGATCAGTGACAGGTTTTCATCCAGCTGATGGGAGAGAAGAGCCCTGGGGCTCTGAGGTCTTGCTGCAAAAGTGGGAACTGTAGGACTGTTTTCTGGTCCAGCAAATGAACCCTCATGTGTCATTAGCCTACCCATGTACAGTCACAGGTCTTAGTGTTACATTCAAATCAAAGTTCCTGTGCGCTGGAGACTGCTCAAAATCAGTGAGAGCCCTTGCTCAAAGGGTCCTGAAGCACAAAATAAGAGATCAGCAATATTTCAGGGATGCCTTTACACTCAGTGGAGTCTGTTTCTCTGTTAGAGGACTGTAACTGAGATAGGCTTGTCAGATTGATTTTAAGCAATAGTTACGTGAGATGTTTTCAACCTGTTCCTCACTTGAAATGTGGCCAAAACTGAGTTCTGTATGAGAGAAAGCTTTGCTGTTTTGCCCAGGTCTCCTCACAAATCCTCACAAAGAAAAGGAAGCTATTTACCACTCACTTTTCCTTGGGAAGAGCAAAAGCACTTGGTCCACAGGCACCGAGGCAAGCAGCTGCAGGTCTGTGGAAGGGACGTACACGTTGCAATGCACCACAGAGAAATGTGTGACTGCAGATGCAAACTTCCCTGAAAAATTTCCACAAAGGAAGTTAAATTTGCTCCTAGTAAGTTTCCAAGTGCACAATGCCTCAGGGTGCTTTGGTACAGACAGTCCCTCAACATGGGCTGAACTTCCTTCCAGGGAAATTCATCTCTAACTTTACTGAAAAGCTGATGAGTCTTGGCCCCTGATTTATCTTGCAGTATATCTATGTATCTGCAGTATGGTAAACTGCCAACTGCTAGACAGCTCCATCATGCTGCTGCCAAAGCAGAAGGTGAAGAAGCTGCAGTGAAGAATGACCTGCATTTTGTATACCATTCCACTTTGGGGCTTCTACACCACCTTGGAACAACATTAGGGGTTTGGGGGGGGGGGGGGGGGGCCGAGAGGAGTACAAGAGAAGATGAGGTGGAGAAGGCATGGAGGATTGCAAGTCCTTGAGCAAGGAGGAAGTTAACAGAGCTACAGAGAAACAATTTAGTAACTGACCCAATAACCAGCTTCTGAAATTCCATGTCTACCTTTTCTTTCCTTCTGCAGATGTAGAGTTTTTACTCGTGTGTCTATGGTAGCAATTTGGTCTGCAAACCTCCTTGGCCAGGGAGGAAGTCTCTCAGATGTATTTCTGATTCTAAATGATTCTGCACCCAAAATTTCTGAATGATGTCCTGCATGGAACCACCTCCCCGAGGCACTTTCTGTCAACGTGGTTACTAGAAGGCACAGTCACGGGAAACACTGCAATGTGCATGGGACATGGTGGATATATGCTATACTTAAGGCAGCTGCTTACAAGATCTGATTTGACAATAGGCAAATTTCCAGTTTGACTATGTTATTTTATTATTCCTTCCTAAATTAGCTTCTTTCTCTTTATTTCATCAGGCTTTCATTATTAATTTCTGTACACGACTGAGCTGACTGCAGTTATGGTCTCTTATTAGATCATCCATTCAACCCACTGCATCTGACAGGATTAGCCAGGAAGCAGGAGAGCACAAACTATTGGATTTCAGGCTTTGAATCTCTTGTGCATAGCTGAGATCACTGAAAGGGCAGCCTGCAACTTCCTTACTCACTAAAATTAAGAAGGCAAGTGCTGAGTAGTGATGAACTGCATTTTTCCCAAAGTTCCCACCAGCACCTACTCAGAAAGTGCTTTACTGGTTCTTCTTCCAGCAGGGAATAAGCTACATCACATCATTTTAAGGGCCAAAGTACTTTTGACATTCCCAAACCCCTCAGCATTTTACAGTGAGTGAAAACTCAATTTGTCTCATTAATCTAGCATCGAATTCCCACAACCACCTGTGACCTTTCTATATCCATCTATATCTATATAGTATATCTATATACTTATGGTAAAAGTACCTACACACTCTGAAAGCCTATTGTTTCCGGGACATCAAAATAGGTAAATTCATACCTGATATGCCCAGTGGCTTCATTGGGATTGTATCAAAGATGAGGCTCCCTCTTCCCCACGCACATAGCATTATCAGTCCCATGGAAAAGCTTAGAGGAAGAAGGAGCCTACAAGCTCATTGTGGCATCCTAGAGTATTGCGCAAAGCTATGACGAGAGGTGGCACGTGCAGCCATACCACTCACACAAGGTCCATGTAAGTGGACTGTTTTGCCCTTCTTTCTAACCCAAATTCTTCCTGTGACAGAACTGATTTGAGCAGGGGCCACAATAATGGAGATACTGGAAATACCAGTCCTGGCTTAACTCTGCTGAATCCTACAGTCCAACGATGAGCAGCAGTCTTTGCTCCTGTCTTGTGCAACCCAAATTGCCTGATCATCAGGAAATTAAATGTTTAACACAGTCCCATGCAAACACTAAACTCATCCTCTCTTCATAGGCTTTGAGGAGTTACAAACAAATCACATCCTTTTAGTTTCAATAACTGTCATCTACCTGCAACTCTACTTTCCTCTGGCAGAGGAACTACGATGCTACTCAAGCTCCATGTGTAACACTGCCTCATGGAAATCACAGTTTCATTTCTAGGCATTTACCAGATTCAGAAAGGAATTATTTTATGTAAACTTCTAACACTGATCTTAACCCTTCCCCTCTCCCTGGCAGAGTGCTCCTGCCATCTTACAAACCACATTTTCCACACTAAGCATCAGAAGCATGAAGTTTCACCCTAAGTTTTTGGGCCATTCCGGATTGATCAGTGAACCACTTCAGTGGGTTCTCCACCTCCCACATCCTTATCAGAAAACTAACCTGGAGCTTTCCTTGTAGGAGTGAAGTCAATATTAGAAAACTAAACTGTTGGGTTTTCAGAACAGACTGCTGGGGGGAGGCTGCTGCCTCTGACCCCATCTTTCTATTTCTTCTCACCTACATTTCTATTTCCAGATGTTTGTTTTAAAAATTAAGTTAGTGCTCTTCAAAATGTGACAGACTGGTTGTACAGAAGGGAAATTTTTCCGTTTAGAGAAGGTTCACCTGCCAAGGCTTATCACCATAGAAGCAGAGAAGACATATCCATGCTGCTGATTAATTGCAATGCAAAATGTCAAGGGTAAAGTATTTCAGCCCACACCATCCCTTCAGGCATCAGTTTGGGTTGCTTTGGTTGGATTTCTCGTTTTGGTTTGTTTTTCTCTCAGGAAATCCTCAGAATTTGGGGCTGTTCAGCCTGGAGAAGAGAAGCTGTGTGGAGACCCCAGAGCAACTTCCAGTGTCTGAAGGGGGCTACAAGGATGCTGCAGAGGGACTCTTCATCAGGGACTGTAGCGATAGGACAAGGGGTGATGGGTTCAAACTGAAACAGGGGAAGTTCAGGTTAGATCTAAGGCAGAAGTTCTTCCCCGTGAGGGTACTGAGGCACTGGCACAGGGTGCCCAGAGAAGCTGTGGCTGCCCCATCCCTGGCAGTGTTCAAGGTCAGGCTGGACAGGGCTTGGAGCAACCTGCTCTGGTGTGAGGTGTCCCTGCCCATGGCAGGGGGTTGGAGCTGGATGATCTTAAGGTCCTTTCCAATACAAACCATTCTATGATTCTATGTTTAGGTTGGTGTTCCCATATCAGGATCCAGACTTGCTCTTCTACCTTAAAACTGCCTAACTAGTTCAGCTATAGCTGTCTGACAGCTTGTGAAGGGTCTTTATCATTACGTGAATACAACACAAGGCTCTTACTAGAAATTAGGTATTGGAACCATTCTCCTGTGATTTTTGAGTCAAGAGGTTCCATTTGAACTACATGATCACTTTCCAAGCTTTGGGGTAACTTCCTGAAGGATCTTATTAATAAGTAAAATACTTGCATAAGAATCATTATACAAATCTAAGTTTGAGCAGCATTTTTCCCTCACACAATCAGAGAAGACAAACTCCCTTTCCTTTTCAATTATTCACCAGTCAATCAAGTCCAGACACAGTAGTATTTCTATAAGATCAACTTGTTCTGTGGGCACAAAATCTCTCATGACCTTTACAAGCCCTTGTCTGGAATGTCTTGTGGATACAGATGTTTCCAGAGTCCATTTCTTGACCTTTGTTCACTAAGAATAAGACAGGATTTTTGCAGAATCAAAGCCTGCTAACTCTAAATGTGTTTATTTGGGCTTCTTTCCTTAAGGACACAGTATTCTAGTGAACAAGCTCATAAACTTTTAAAGAGAGCTGGATGTGGATGGAGCATCCACTGCATCACTGTGTGTCACACTGAAGGTTCTCAGATGAACAGCAGATTTACTGCTCGAAGGCTCTAAGCAGAGCTCTCCAGTCTCCATTACTGCAAACTCAGTTGTGTGCCAAGAATACGCAGTTGTCCCCAAAATAGAAAAAAATAATAAATCTTTAAGCCTTCATGCACTCATATAGGATCCTAAACATTTATTAAAGTACACCTTACACCACCTCTCATCTACCTACAGGAGTTTGAGTAAGCAAAGAGTGTGGCCCAAGACCAATCTCATGCAAAGTCTTAATGTCAGAAGATCTGCAGCTTGTAAGAATGTCTGTTTCTAATTGGCCTTGATGAAATTGGTACCCATATTTCCAATCGCCTATGCTGAGCAAATACCTGCAAAACCTCCTTCATTTATTAGTAAAAGGTGAAGTAAGATCAACTGAGCTATACACTAGCCACCTGCAACATTAAGGTACATCTTTCATGTTTCATGTCATCCGCTGCTAAAGGAAATGAAGATTTCACTAAAAAGAGTTTATTCCCTTAAAAAGAAAACCAAATTAACAAAGATGCCCTTATGCAAAACATGGGAAGATGGAATAATGCTCATTTTAATAAATACACTCAGCTAATCCATTTAAACCAAAGCTATATGTTAGTTTCCAGCAGTATCCCACAAGAATAAGCTTGAACATGTTAAGATGTAAATAACAGGTGGGTTTGGGTTTTGCTCACCAGAGGTAGCTTGGCATTCATTCACTGACTTCAATTTCCATTTATTCACTGCCATTGCACACCAAAGGAAACACTCTATCAAACAGGTCGGATATAAAGCAGTCTAGAAAATCAAAACCACTGACAGTCCATATAGACAGAAAACAAACTGGCCCCTGCAACAAGAGCTAAATAGCGTATAATCTTAAAACTGAAAAAGAGAGTTTCGCTGTGAGGACCTTGCAAGAGTTGGAAGAAAACTTCTAAGAGTCATGGTATCACCTGCACTGAGCTCAGAAATTATCCTGCTGTATCTTTCAGCAGTATTCCCATCTACTTTACAAATAACACATTACCATTAGTTTCTTACCCAACTATGATCATGCCAAGGTTAAGCATGTGTTACACATGGAATGTAGAAGGTGCCCTTGCATATATATACACACATACATATAGATGTTTACACTCTGGTATATGTTAACTCCTGTACAGATATATTGCTCTTACTTGATGGGAGTGACTTCCAGTAACCAACAGTTAACAAAGTGTCATATGAATAAGTAGGTAAGTTCAGTCTCTGTTCAGAACTACTCTTTTGTTCTCAGACATCCATCATGTCATAAGTACGGAGTCAAATGGACAACTTACCTTAGCAGTTGAAGCACGGGGCCTATAGGGATGCTGGGGAGGGACTCTTCATTAGGGACTGTAGTGACAGGACAAGGGGTAATGGGTTCAAACTTAGGGGAAGTTTAGATTGGATATAAGGCAGAAGTTCTTTACTGTATGGGTGGTGAGGCACTGGAATGGGTTGCCCAGGGAGGTTGTGAATGCTCCATCCCTGGCAGTGTTCAAGGCCAGGTTGGATGAGGCTTGGGTGAGATGGTTTAGTGTGAGGTGTCCCTGCCCATGGCAGGGGGGTTGGAACTGGATGATCTTAAGGTCCTTTCCAACCCAAACTATTCTATGATTCATTCAATTTTCAACACTAGGTTCAGCACTGCCTCTTTATTAAAAACACATCCATCCTTCCTTCACCCACAATGTCAACAACCGAGATGCTGCTGAGTGATACTGACAGGGGGATGAGAAGCGACAAGATGACCTACTAGGTTATATTTCAGCACTAAGAATAACAAAAGACATTTCTATACATAACTGGATATGATGCTAAATATGTCCCTGGGTAGTGGTGAGAAACAGCTGTTCTGTACTACTAAGTACCTTCATTTGGAGATCTGCTGTCCATCTTCAAAGCTCATTTGGAAAGGAATTGAACAGTGATTCAAGGAGCTATCACAGATGTCAACATCCAGGCCCTTTCTAATTCTTCCAATGATGGGAAGTCACTTTGGCTCTGAAGGATGAGAAGAAATAGATTTGTGGAGGAGTCTACTGAAGTCAGTAGACCTGCAACAGGTAATAGCAATTGAGATACCGTTTGTTCCTTTCCACATCCCCACTGAAATTTCTTCCCAGTTTTCAGACTCTTCCTATTTTCTTCTTCTTAAGCATGGATTTTCCCACAGGAAAGCAGGAAGAATTAACATCTCAACTAAAGGCAAACAAGAGACCAGACTAAGCAGTCCATGGAAGCAGAGAAAGAAGCACTTCACAAGATGAAAGGAGAGAACAGCTCCTCTCCTTTTCACATTGCCCACACCAGGTTTCCTTTTAATTGAGGTGAGAGGCCAGCTCTATAATTGTAATTGTCTGCTGTGTATGTTTAATGTCTGTCTGTGCCATAACAATCAATAGCAGTTAACTTTTTTTTGCCTTTTTCCCCTTCATGTGGCAAGTACTGTTTCTTTCCATCTGGTGTCACGGTCTCTATTACCTTTGTTGACACCTCAGTTTGTGAGGGAGTCTCTCCTCAATATTATGTTAATCATTATAGAAGGCAAATACACTGTGCTAATCCCTAAAAGACAGCTAAATTAAACACCACTGTGTACCTGGCTATAGCCCTGAACCTGAAATGACAGAGCTATTTCGCCTGAGTGCCATGGCACTGATACTAACCAGCTGTTCCGTTATTTGAATGTCCAGCAAACAAAACTGGACATTATATCCTGGCACCTGAATGCCTGAGATATGGACAGCTGCACTAAATGGTTGCTGGTAGACCATCTGCAAGACATGTCACTATAAACTGATTTAGAGCTAATGGAAGCTAAAATTCTCTAGAGACATAGAGTAAGTTAGACTCACAAGTCGAGATTTTCCTCCTTAACTACTGCACTTACACCAAAGATTGGCAAGAAAAACCCAACACAGATGTTCCCCAGTTTTGATTAGTGCTTGGCAATTACAGAAGTTCCAAATCTGCCTTTGGTAAAAGGCCATGAGAACTACAGGTCTTTGCCTAAGTGTTTGCATGTGATCCCAACAGACCTTTCACTCTAACCAGGCCTTCTCCTGGCTAGCTCTCACGAGGAGAAATAAGCTGAAACACTGAAACAACAGACTGAAAGTAGTCTGAATTCTTATTATTAGGTTTTGTGTTTGGAAATTGCAGTTATGTTGTTAAGTGTGTATGGTACCAGGATTTTTCATATTCTGAAGAATATGAAACAAATTGTCCTGGACATTTCTTATCCTCCCTGAAATAAACAGTACCTGAATAAAACTGTATTTCTGTTGAGCTTGGCACTAGTCTAAACTCTGCTGTCTTGTAATCAATATAGTTCTACTGAAGTCAATAATATTTTATTACACCAGAGATACAATTGGCTTTCAGGCTTTTTCCTCCCCTTTTGGCATCAAAACAAGCTAGCTGATAAATTCAAGCTACATAACAGCAGTCAACCATAAAACACGTATCATTCAAAGATGGCTTAGTGCAGCATCCCTCATCATTTTGGGATGGTTATTCTATACACAAAGTCAAGTTATTCACCTGACCAGAAGAATCTCTTGGTGTCTGTTGCCAGGGAGGCGCAGGAGAGAGCTGCACCCTGAGCAGACGAGAGTTAGGAGCCCGAGATGACACCAAAGCAGACAATAGGAAGCGGCCTCTGTAATGGGTGGGAACCTAGCTGAGAGCTGATTCCCTCTTGTGACTGAGGGACATAAGAGAGTAAGTTTTTATCACAGCGTATTCAGTAGAGTATACATGTGTATGTTCATGCCCATTTCCTGATTACCTGACTCTCAGCATCGGCTGCAACAGGGCATCCCAGCCTGAAGAGTGGGCCTGGATGATGATTCACTGGTGACTGGTGATGTATTTCTTAATCTCTGTTCTCTCTATGCAGTAATGATTTGATGCACTGCTAATTTTCCTCTGTACTTTACTTATACATATATATCCGATTTGCTTTACTGTACTTATTTATTATATATACCCGATCCATGTTAGCGTGTTATATAGCTAGCATGTGATCATTTTAAGTACCCTGCCTGCCAGCAGCACAGCCTTGCCAAACAGAAGTGTGCAGTCCCATGGCACCTGAAGTAGAGCAGGAGCTCAATGCTGCTGATGCTAACCTGGTAAAGCAACTGAGCCTGTGGTTGTCAGACAAATCCATAGCAAAAAGGCATGTTGAGGTCAAGCTGGAAACTACAGTTACAGATCAGGGTTCACCAATGATACATGGCTGGGCACAGGCATAGGCAGGATATAGCTGTAGCCTTCCCCTTAGCTTTGCCTGATTGACCTGACAGAGGAAACAAGGGAGCCCTGAACAGCTCTTGCACACCTTTTCCCAGGAGTGTGATTCAAGGTGACACAGCTGTACTTCAGTATTTGTGCTTTTCACAGGATGAAAGTACTGCAGTGTTAAAAAGCCCTCCTCAAGGCAGACCTTGCTGAACAAAACCCAAGAAGTCTGACACAAAATCACAGAGTCATTAGTGTTGGAAGGGCCCTCTGTAGATCACCCAGACCAACCCCCTGCCAAGGCAGGGCCACTCAGAGCAGGTCACACAGGAACGTGTCAAGGAGAGTTTGAATGTCTACAGAGATGGAGACTCCACACCCCCCTGTGCAGCCTGTTCAGTGCTCTGACACCCTCAGCGTAAAGAAGTTCTTCCTCATGCTGAGGTGAGACTTGTTGTGTGTTAGTTTATGGCCACTACTCCTTCTCCTGCCGCTGGGCATCACTGGAAAGAGTCTGGCACCGTCCTCCTGGCACCCACCTTTGAGATACTGGTCTGCATTCATGAGACCCCCTCTCAGCCTGCTCTTCTCTGGACTAAACAGGCCCAGCTCCTCATAAGAGAGATGCTCCAGAACTCTGATCAGCCCTGTGGTCCTTGAAATATATTTCCAAACAATGGAGTTTGAAGAAGCTGAAGACAAGGCATCTAGGTTCCTAAATATTTATTCGAATCAAAGCTCTGAAACATGACAGGTAAAAGCAATCAAGAACATAAAAGACATTAAAAAACAACAACAAAAACCAAACCAAACCAAGCCCAAACAAACAAACAAACAAAGTCAGTGGGTAAAATATGAAGGTTATATGACACTCTGTAGTTATCTCTGACAGCATAATAGTGTTCCAGGGATATAACAGATACAGCAAGTATTTCTCCAGAACATTAATTCTTGGCTATACTAGCTCAAAGATAAAATGATTTGATATTGATAGCTAGATAAACTTACAGCCTTTTCCTCCCCTGTCACAAACACCACATATCTTCCTTACAGGACCATCCTTAACAGCCTCATCCTTTCAAGTACCACTTTTGGAAAGAGATTGCCATAAAGCTGAAATATAGCCTGTGTTAGCCACAACTCCTGCTCCTGATGTTAGTGTTCACGGGAACCAGCCAAAGAGCACAGCAATAGAAGTCCATAAAGATGAGAACATATATTTTTTTCTGTTCTGGCTGCCCTATTAAAACCTTAGCTGTTTGAATTTCTGTGGTTACAGATTGTTTTCCTATGTTAGGTGAATAGGATGACACAGTTCCTTTAACGTATTTCTTCCTCACACAAAACTAGCTGGACACGTTAGCTCACCTGGTGGCATTCTTCAGGAAGTGTGCCTGCAGAGGAAAGTTTTTCCCTAAAATGCCGAGTTCAAAACAAATCATCAGTAGCCCTTCTCTAGAGTGAAATATCATAGAATCATAGAACAGTTTGGGTTGGAAAGGACCTTAAGATCACCCAGTTCCAACCCCCTGCCATGAGCAGGGACACCTCACACTAAACTATCTCGCCCAAGCCTCGTCCAACCTGGCCTTGAACACTGCCAGGGATGGAGCATTCACAACCTCCCTGGGCAACCCATTCCAGTGCCTCACCACCCTCACAGTAAAGAACTTCTGCCTGATATCCAATCTAAACTTCCCCTGTTTAAGTTTGAACCCATCACCCCTTGTCCTATCACTACATTCTCTAATGAAGAGTCCCTCCCCAGCATCCTTACAGGCCCTTGGTGTAACCCTTTATTAAATGCTAAGCTAGAAACACGCACTGACAAAAGAACAGTGACTCTCCCACATTTGATGTCAATATCCATACGCTGCAACTAAAGTTGGAAAAAGTCTGATGAGAAAGTATCAAAGTATTTACATTCATTACATTCACCACCACCAGAAACTGCAATTTCAAAGTTGCTGGACAGACTTTAGTAAGAGAAACAAAACCAGGGATAGCCAGTTCAGGAATGAGGGAGCTCTGTAGCGGCCTCTTTTAAATACCAAGTCATAACCCCTCAGAAATAAAATGTAATGGCACAGGTTGTATCAGCAAATTGTGACTCTAAGAGGAAATGGAATTTACTCATTAATTATCTTGATCATTACCTATGTATTTTTTTATATATATAATAAGAAGCATCTATGAAAGTGAGCACCATTAATAAAGGAAACCTACAAGGAACTTGGAGAGGGACTTTTGACAAGGGCCTGTAGAGACAGGACAAGGGGGAATGGCTTTAACCTGCCAGAGGGGAGACTGAGATGAGCTCTTAGGCAGAAGTTCTTCCTTGTGAGGGTGCTGAGGCGCTGGCACAGGGTGCCCAGAGAAGCTGTGGCTGCCCCATCCCTGGCAGTGTTCAAGGCCAGGTTGGACACAGGGGCTTGGAGCAACCTGGTCTAGGGGAAGGTGTCCCTGCCTATGGCAGGGGGTTGGATGAGCTTTAGGGTCCCTTCCAACCCAAACCATTCCATGATTAGGCTATGTGAGGTCCATGCACAGTAGACTGCTGCCCCTGCACCCCTAGGAGCACATCACTGCTCAGGCTCCAAGACAGAACTGGTCTAAAGCAGGTGGCCTCACGTGCAGTGTGCGAACAGCAGCATTGGCTTTCACTTAGGTCAGGCTTAAAGAAGCACAAGAAACTCCTGAGGTTAAAGATTTATTTCAGGCTGCTTATATGAATTGGCTTCCTTAGGAATAAACCCGCTGGAGCGTTTCTCCCAAGGTGTTTGCCTCAGGACTGGTCTCTGGAGGCTGCTGCCCAAATTCTGCATTCACACAGAAATGCCCTGTGGATGACTGCTGAGGAGCTCTTTAGCTTCAGTCTAGTGCCAAGCCTGCTGCTGCAACCACCAACTCCCACTGCAGACTCCTGGCCACCCAAAACTGACAATTTCAAAGTATTAAACATAAAATCTCGGTGTTACAAAATTGCTTCAGAGAGAATTGTCATCAACTCAATGGGAGCTACTGAGGGCAGAGAGCCATTCTAGTCACCCTAGAGACTTCTGCAGGAGACTGTGGTCTATAGAGTTAATTCATCACACAGAAAGTAAGGGGGTAATTAAGATGTCTCACATAAAGAGCAGTGGAGAAAGGGAAGATTTGGGCCTGGCTACAATTCCAGATCTGTGTCCCGACATACCAATGTTATTATCTGTCCTCTCATTACTTAACTCTTACCAAATGCTAAACTTCCCAGCCTTTCTTTGCTGGTAACTTATCATTACTGGCAACTGGCCACAAGGTTATAAATACCCAGTGGCAGCGCTCCATGCTGCTCTCAGAACAAAACTCCTTAAAAAACAATAGTGAAACACTATTAAATGCCTTCCTTTGTGTATTTGTCATGAATTCCA